TAAAACTAGTGCTTACTGGTTTCCAATTGTATTTAGCTTCTGGTTGGAATTTGAAACAAATTAAAACCTAAATAAAATTAGGTGGAAGTTCCCTGACTATTCAGGTGAATACACAGCTTGGAGTGGTAGCTTTTTTCTTAAATCATTGAGTAGATGTCACTTAACTGCTTTAGGGATTTATAGCCCAAAGTTAAACATTAAAATCTCAAGGAAAAATTCTGGCAATTGGGTTTATAAATTAAAAGTTGGAATCAAAAGTATGTGGACTGTTTCTAGTAGTTAGCCTGTGTTTATACCTTACATCATGACCCTTTTAATTAGAAAATTATTTTTCTCATGTTCTCTGGAAGTTAGAATCTATTTGAAATATGCCTGTTAGTTTCTTACAATCAGGTACTTTTCTAAGTTCTTTAGATTTCAACTGAGTGGAAATAGGTACAGAGGCTTAATTGCTTAAGCTAGGCTCATAAGTAGTGGAAGATTTCAGTTAGCTTGCGTTATGCATGCCTGTAAGGTGGATGCAGGAGGGTTCTGGTCTAGGCAGTAAGTTTAGTATAACCTGTACCCACTTTAGTCTGACTTTGGGACATTTATGTTCTTCATATTTTCTGAACCATTCTGGAGTTTCCTGCATACATTATGAACTTCAAGGATATTTTCATTGCTGGTCAAGATGATGTCCATAACAAAGTAGAAAAATTAAGGAACAGTAACATTGATACACCTTGCCATTTCTATGTTCCAGTTTCCTTAAATCTGAGCTACCTCCCCAACCCTCATATTCTAGTTTTAACTCAGTATTTCTTGTGGGGATTGAGCCTAGCAGTACTACATGAGTGCTTTTACGTATGTGAGAGCTATGTCCCCAGCTGATATTCTTGATAGCTTTTAAAAATTCCCTAGTAGTGAAGGATTTTTGCATTTAGCTGACATATTCCTGATGTCTTTTGTTCTGCAGCCTGTTGCATGATCTTGACATTTTGGGAGTTTAGGCCAACTACTATAGTCTTCCCATTTGATTTGTTCAGTTGCTAACATCGCTGCTCAGGTTGATATCCAGGAACACACTAGTTCCTTATGCAATACCCTACCTTTCTATTGATGTTTTTTTCCTTACTAGACCAAATAATTTTTTTTTTTCCCCGGCGGAAACCGGGGATTGAACTCAGGCCCTTGCGCTTGCCAGGGAAGCGCTTATTCCACTGAGCTATCTCCCTGGCTCAGGCTGTAAGAGAGATTTCAAATCTACCCCTCCACATTTTTCAGTATTTTATGGTAAGATTCTTCCTTTTGCCATTTTCCACCAAAACATTGTGGGCTCAGTTTTTTTCTTAATGCATAATTTACATACCTTGGTTTTTTGAGCACATAATCATTTCCAGGGATAAGATACCTTGTAGTTTGTGCACTAGCCTCGAGACCTGGAATCCCTGTTCTACAGAGAGCTCAGGATAAAGTAGGAAATACCCTAGGAATCAATACCTGGTCCCTTCTATGCCCACGGCTGTTAGGGAGCCTGCATCTGTCATTGGCATGAATAGATGAGCATGCATTTTAACCCCAGCAAGGGATACCCCATTTAGAGCTTGACTCTTCTCCAAAATTGTTGGAAGCTGCTGCTTTTCAGCCTTTACTAGGACTTGGATAAAGTATATTCCATGTGCCATAGTCCACAGAACCATGTGATCTTTGAGAAGTAGATCACTGTGCACTGGGAGTTTCAAAGGGGTTCCTACTATTCATGCCCTTAATACAGAAGATGCCAGGCTGGCTGGGCATGGTGGTGCACAGATATAATCCCAGCACTCAAGAGGCTGAGGCAGGAGGGTTGTGGAGGCCAGCAATGGACTACATAGCCTGTCCTTCCACACCCCCCAAAAAAGATGCCAGGCTGAATCTCTAATAAGTGATCACAGGAAAAGTATTTGAGACATTTTCTGTGTTATGTGATTTTGTCACACTTTATTATTTTAAACAGTTATGGCACAATCTAATTTTCCAATATGGGCTGTAATAGATAATCTATTTTGAAGTTCGATGATCTAAAGGAAATGAAAATGCAGTAAGGCATTTTGGAGCTGGGAAAGACTAAGAACTGGCTGCTGCTGCTATGGTCAATTTAGTGTTTCCCCAAAGTTCTAATCCTAAGGGGATGGCTCTAGGTAGATGGGGTCCTCAGGAGGCACGTGTAGTATCCCTAAGTGATCCCTTCACTGTCATGTAAGGCTGAACCAGGAAGCCCCTCACCAGTTCTGGAAGAAACTTACGAAGTTTGTTTATAAGCTACCCAGTCTAGGCAAAGAGAAATCTAAACAGCTATTAATTTATATTTGTCCTTTAGCTTCACACTGGACTTTAATCTTAGAGTGGGCTTGCTGGCTTTTTTGCTTTACCTATTTTCAAAATACTTCAGAACTTTTTTCTGTCAACTGTCATGAATTGATTAAAAAACAAAAAGTGAAAAATCCAGGCCACTCCCACCTCAACTCTGCTGTACTTTTTCCACAAAGACAGTATTTCTCTCTTATGTATTCTTCCACAAAGACAATATTCCTTAGCTATTTCTAATTCTGCTCATTTATTTTGAAAACTTGTTGAAATCAAATTTACACTGGATGCTTGCTGTTGGGTTCCTTCAAGCCTGCTCAGTTTCCCAGGTGTTTTGTGTGTCTTCCTTGTGCTATCAGCTTTCCCGTGGCCTTGTTGGTCACATCCACAGAGGCAAAGGCAAGTGTCTTTCCTTGCTTCAAAATATTTGCTGTAATTACTATTTCTTCTCCTATTTTAGCAGGTGACATGTACCTTGAAAGGAAGCATATTTAAATATAGTTAATGCAAATAATTTTTTGAAAGGAAAGTTATAACAAGTTCCTAACAGCTTTCCTATGTATCTTACTCTACTCCCCAAAGTAATTTTTAATGTAAATTTTCTAATTTGAATGGCTTGTCCTAACAGGGTTTTATCTTTTGTCCATTCCTTTTCCTACAGTTTCTTTTCCTACAAATAATTCCTTGATGTTTTCCCCCTTAGTATCCCACTTCAGCTTTTAAGACTAGTGAAAGACATCTTCTAACTTAACATCTGATGAGTTTTAGCTTCAATATCACTTGATGTCTGCTACTCACATTTACACTTTAAAGTGACTAATTCAAGAGCCACAGGAAATGAATGAAGCTCTTAAAATCCTAGGGAGGAATCGGACATACTGCAGTCAGTGGGGGGTCTTGGAGTTCTCAGTACTCCTGGGAGACACCAAGGCCCATGCACACTCGTCTTTTATATAAGAATGCACAGTATTTGCATATAATTGTGCAATCCCAGTGTATACTTTAAATCATCTCTAGATTACTTATATTTAATATGTATAATATAAATGCTATATAACGTCATAGTGTATTGTTGGAGAATAATGATTAGCAAAAGTATACACGCGATTTCTTACAAAGTTTTTTTTTCCATCTCAGGGTTGCATCTGTAGGTGTAGAACCTGTGGATAATAGGGAATTGCCTTTTTTTTTGGTGGGACCGGGTATTGAACTCAGACCCTTGTGCTTGCCAGGGAAGCACTTACTCTACTGCACCATCTCCCTGGCTCTATTTTTATTTTATTTTTTGGCGGAACCAGGGATTGAACTCAGGCCCTTGCGCTACTCAGGCCCTTGCACTTGCCAGGGAAGCACTTATTCCACTGAGCCATCTCCCCGGCCCCCCTATTTTTATTTTTAAAAGTGATACTGGAGATTAAAGCCAGGGCTTTTGTATGGAGCTGTATCATTAGCCCTTTTATTACTTTTGAGACAGCAACTTGCTAAATTCCCCAAGCTGAGCGTGAGCTTGCTATCCTTTACCTCAGCTTCCCAGAGTGCTGGGACTACAAGCCTATGCCACCATGCATGGCTTCTGACTTTTAAAAGATATACTTCCTAATTGTAACCGTAGGTTGCCTTTAATTCAGTTACTTTAGCTAACTTACTAGGGGATAAGGACTGTTTAAATAGTATGTTTTCGGTTTTTTGTTTTTTGAGACAGTCTCACTATATAGTTCAGGCTGGCTTTGGACTCATGAAGTCTCCTGCCTCAGCATCCTGAGTGCTGAAAACACCAGCGGGCACCACTACACCTGGCTATTTTTTAATCTATCTGCATTTTATAAAGCAAGAAGCTTTAAAAGGTGATAGGTATTTTTTTTGCCAAATTCCAAGTAAGACAAGTGTTTGCTGCTGGGCAGTATGAGAAAACTGAACTTTATTGCTGGAAAAATGCAGGGAGATCTTGAATTTCGGTTCCCCTATTTATGTTTTTTAATTTATTTTTCTATATTTAGGACAGGGTCTACAGGGCATCACTACGTGGATTGGTAGATTGTACTCATGATTCTCCTGTTTTCAGCCTCTCAGGTGCTGGGATTACAGGCAAGCACCACCACGCCCTCTCAACCTCTGTCTCAGCACCACCCTGTGGGCGGGGCCCGCAGGGCATGTAGGGGATGAACCTCTGCCTGCTCTGCCTACGAAGGCACTTAAGTCCACTAAGCTATCAGGCTGGCCCTTAGGTTCCCAATTTAAATAAATGAAAATGGCATGCTTTTTCATTTTCTTAGTTTTTATGATTTACTCTAATTTTGTCCGATAAAGAATTTTTGCAAATGACCATTTGCTTAAACTAAGGGAGCAAAGCAACTCTGTGCTGCAGATGAGCAAACATTAAATCTAGGGGATCTGGAGGCTGATATTTTATCAACAACATTCTTGTCCTTGGGTGTGGTGGTGCCTGCCTGTAATCCCATCACTCAGGAGGCTGAAGCAGGAGGATCATTGTGAGATTGAGGACAGCCTGAGCTACAAAGTGAGCCTGAACTGCAAGGCCAGCCTGAACTGCATAATGAAACCCTGTCTCAAAAAGATAAAACTAAAAAAAACCCAAAACAGTATTCTTATCCTAGAATTTTCTCTTTTGTGGTTTTAGAGCCCAAGTTTTTAATGTAAGTTATGGTCTGTAACAGACATCTCTGGTCTGTGTGGAACAGAACTTAACGTGCAGGGATGAAGTGTACTTGGCAGCAAGTCAAGGGCAGTACAAAGGAGGACCGTGAGGGGCTCAAGGAATGCAGTGCTTGCTGAACTCTGAACTGCCCACCTCTTTTGAGACTACCCTACTTTCTGTTCAAATGAATCAATTTTGAAAGCTCAGGCAGTTTTGGTGGTGGCCAACACTTTGGGAACATATACAGTACTTTGAAAGGTCAAAGCTGTTTAACTTAATAAAAATCCTCGAAAGTTGTGTTGTGGGAAGAATCTGGATTACTGTCCGACACTCATGCCGCTTGCTGAAGCAAGATGACAGTGCACATATGCAAGGTGAATTTTATTTAGACTTTTCTGTAAATATATTTAATACACCCCTCAAAGAACTTTTCCGATGGGTACTTTTAAGGACAACAAAACAGCTATAAGCCATGAATTTATTTTTGCCTTGCCATGATATGTAATTAGAAGCTGTCTGCTATTTTGAGCATTTGGGATCATTCTCCCTTTACTGTACATACTGTACAATGGGCCCTATGTGTGTTAGTTCTCAGTCTTCCAATTAAGCCAACTATATAGATTGAAAATATTTTAAAAAATAAGACCTTTTAAAATCTTGTCATTCTCTAAATAACTATTTGCATATCACATTGTATTAGGTATTAGTAACCTAGAGATGATTTACATATATAGGAAGATATGTATAGATTATATACAAATAACATTTTATATAAGAAACTTGAGTATTGGTAGACTTTGTTATCTGAGAGGAGTCCTATAATCAATAGCCTACATATACGAAGACATGTTTACTTAAAAATCAACCAGTGTGTGTGTGTGTGTGTGTGTGTGTGTGTGTGTGTGTATGTGTGTGTATGTGTATGTGAGAGTGTGCGCATGTGCTGAGGATCAAACTCAGGACCTTGCACTTGCCAGGCAGGTGCTTAAGTCACTGAGCTATCTCCCTGCCCCTCCTAGATTGGAGGCTATGAGATAGAGCAAATCTATAGCTATACTTAAGGATAAACATTTCACTGAATCTCATGCTTCATTAATATAAATGTGTTTAGTTTGACTGTAAGAAATGAGTCATCAAACTGAATAAGTTATCTGGGTACTATTTGGATACATACGTTATGTTCATGTCAACACTAACTCCTGGCACTCCTCTCTCTGTGAATACCAGGGCCATTGTTGAGATGCTGTCTATTAAGGTGGCCGTGAAGCCACCATGCAGAGTGCCATATTTATTAGTGTGCTCTTCTTCTACTTTCATTTCACAAATCACTTTCTCAGGAGCAGCAGAGATGAGAGTCACCTACATGCCAGGAAGAAAAGAAAAATAAAAAAATCAAACTCATTCTATGGTATTAGAAAAACCTACACGTCAAGAGCAATCACTGAATTAAACTGAATCTTCCCTAAAAAGTTTATTCAGAAATCTAATTAATTTGTTGCCAATCTATGATAGGTATTAGCCCTTGGGTCAATTGTTTTTAAAGAAAAAACAATATTTAGGGGAAAATGATACTAGTTTTTGCTGAGTTCCACTCTTAGGCAAAATTCATCAGTGTGAGTGTTTCAGCCATGTGTGTGCCACCTGGCATTTTGTGGTGCCACCTGGCATCTCGTGATGCCTCCCAGGCTCTGTGGTCTGCTAATAACCCACCTTTAGGCTTAACTCAGGTGTTGCCTAGTTTACAAACAGTTTTAAAATGACTTAGTAATGTACAGTTCCAAACAACTTAAAAAGAGACTACGAGAAATCCAGGAATTCAATGAATTATTAGAATTATGCCTCCGCCATAAAACCATTTTAATGGAAGTTTAACAACTGAACTCAGTACACTTAAATTACTGCTGGAGTAATAAGGTGGGGTCACTTCTCAGAAACACATCCATGGGGGTTGTTTGGTTTTTTCATCCCAGGCTCGCTTGTAAGCAGACAGTGCTACTGGCAGGAACATTCTCTGTCAAGGAAAATCTTCTGCTTTTGGAGTCCATATTTTCATGCTTCTGTGAGATCTATAAAAAGCTTCTATTGAACTAACCTTTACTGGGAATTTTGGGGTTCTTTTTCTTCATTTTCTTTTGCCTCCCCTTCAGCGATGCATTACTGACAGGAATTTTTTTTTTTTTTTTTGACAGGCATTTTTCATAGTCATCATAATCTTGTGGGACCACTGCAGCACATGCAGTCTGCTGTGACAGAAATGCTACATGGTCATGATACATAACAGGGCAGGGACAAATTCTGTTTTGCTCATAAATTCAAAGCGTTTTGTTCTCAAGCTCACTGAAAAAGTAATAAAACTGAAATTTCCATCTAGGTCTGTCTACCTGCACATCTCCCTAATCACTAAATTATATGGAATGCTTCATGAATTTGTGTCATCCTTGCACAGAGGCCATGCTAAGCTTCTCTGTATCGCTCCAATTTCAGTATACGTGCTGCTGAAGCATGCACCCCAATCACTAAATTATAACATTTCTAGAGATGTAAAAGCCTTTACAGCTCCTCCCAGGAAGACACACAAATTTCAGAAACTGCAACCTTTTGTGGTTGCTTCTATTATAAGAAGTCATGAAGGAAAACAAACAAATACAAAAAAAATACTATGCCATGTTTTACACAGTAGGTAAATCAATGGAAAAAAAAAAAAAAAAAAGTTGTCTGTTTATAGCAGTAAGTGATCTAGCCACAAGATGTCCTCATAAACTGATACTACACACCAAGCAGGAGCCCGGAGTCTATATTAGGCTCAGGCAATGTGAAGGTGAGTGAGATACACGCTCTGCTCAGAGGTTTCAATCTAAAGAAAAAGTATGTAAACCACAGCAGTGGGAAAAATTTCTGGAGACAATAAATATAGGTTTCCTGAAGTAAATTTTTTTTTTTCTTAAGAGAAATAAACCTTCATTTCTTCGTTTCGAGATTCCTAGGTTTTAAAAGTATGGTTTTTTTTGAAAATCACTTGGAAAGACTATGGGAAATGTCACCTGAGTGAGAAGAACAGGCAGGAGCCAGGGGGAAGCAGGTAGCTCAAGAAATATAAATGTGAGCACCTCACAGACGCCACAGGTAGCTTAGCATATTTTAGGGTACAGTGTGTGTAGCAGAGCTTAATTCCCAATCTCATTTGATGACTTACCTGTGCCCAGGATGACAACAGGATGCAAAACTTAATATATGTTGATGTTAGATTTTCTACTACAGAATGACCTTAGTTTTTTTCTTTTTCCTAACTGAAAGACCAATGGACATGGTAGTATACAGAACTAATTTAAAATTTATAATGAAATATATAATTTTGTACTGTTCAGCCTGACACAGCAAGAGAAATGCTTTCATGTATTGTCTGCTTATTTACTTGGTACTGGGGCCTGAATCCGGAGCCTCGCATATGACTGGCAAGCACTGTACTACTGAGCGACTACCCAAACTCCGTATGGCCAATTCTTGTCTCCCTAAGTAAAATAAAACAAACCAGTGGTGAGACATTATGTCCCAGTAACAGGAAAACAAACAGATGGAAAGTGCCAGTGAAGGAGTGTGCTATCCAGCTCCCAGAGAAAAAGCCTTGGGTCGGGGAGATAGCTCAGTAGAATAAGCACTTGCCTGGCAAGCGCAAGGTCCTGAGTTCAATCCCCAGTACCGCTAAAAAATGAAAAAGAAAAATCCTTGTGGGGCAGAGGCACAAGAGACCCAACCTCCCTTGTCTCTGATGAGCGAGGGAGAGGACACTAAACAAAGAGCCCAGTCTCAGTCAGCATATAGGCTCTAGTGTATACAAGAGTTTATTCAGTTATTAGCAACAGCTATGAGGGACGATGCTGAGCATTTTGCCTTGTGCTGAGTCCTGCAAATGTGCGAAGTGGATACCTTTTCTATCTCCATTTTCCAAATGGGAAAACAGCTATGTTTGACTCTGATCCTCCGGTTTAGCAACCCTTCTCATCTCACCTGGACCATGGCAGACAACTAGGTCTTGACTTAGTAGTTGTTTTGTGAGAAGATGTGGAAGATGGGTGTGAGGCCTTTTATATCTTGGAGTTGGATATTCTCATTCCATGGCCTAACAAAACAGAACTGCCCTAATAGGTTTCATTCCTAAAACTACAGGGTTGAATGACTACAGTAGGCTGAACACTATGGCTTGGTCCCCCCTCACACAAAGGGCTCCTCAGATTATCTTAAAAACTGTCATACGTAATGCTATGTGTTAATTATTGAAACTGTCCTACCAATTTGGTTTGAAACGGTTTCATTGCTATTTCTCAATAAAATTATGGAAAAAAATTTTAAAAAATAAATAAAAATTGTCATACATATATGTACACCATCTGTCCCTTTTCTACACAGCCCTCAGTGTGCTGCCTCTTCCCTTCCATGAATTTGTTACTCATGTGATCATAGTACCTTGCCCCAAACCCCCAATATCTAGTCTCAAATGCCATTACTAATAGACATACTTCTGATGACAGTCTCACCTTTCCTTTCCAGTGAAACAATCAGAAGGGCTGCCTACTAACAGTAAGAGGGAGCTTGTTTCTTTCTTTTTTCTTTTTACAGTGCTGGTGGTTGAACCTAGCACTGTTACCTTGTGCATGCTGGGCAAGTATTCCACCACTGAGCAACATTCCCAGATGAAGATGCTGCTATTCCTCATGATGTGCTCCTTCATATGAAGGTCTTTATAGAACTGACAATTCTCCTTAGTCAAGAAACCAGTCTGAATATGAAAGACTAGACAAACACTAGCACAAAAAATACGCAATAGTAGTAGGTGAGAAATTTGTATTTGTGAAAAAAGCTGTTTTTAAGCAATTTGCCCTGACACTTGTGTAACACTACAAATGCTGGGAGTTGTATCTGAGGACAATGTATGAATGTACCTTTGTATAAGCAGGAAAGGAGGTAAAAAGTGCACAGTACAATATGATGACGTGACAGGACCGGAAGAGCAACATACATAGATGACAGCTATGTAGAAGGAGCCCTGAAAGGGTACACGCTACAGAAGTACTGTGCTTCACCATGCTGCTGACAGCAGAACAACACCGGGCTCTGAAATACACGTCTTAGTGGAATTACACAGATGGCTACAGCTTACTGGTTAAGAGCTCTGGTTCTGGAAACTGACTTTGGCAAGATGCCACACTGTTTCCAGGCCATGAAGTGAAGAAAATAACAGCACATTGACCTCAAAGGCTTTGTAAAGATCACAAAACCATTCACATCCAGTATTTAGGACCTAGCCTAATAAAACAATTTGCACTTTTGTCAAACCACCATCAAACACTTTGGCTTGTGTAGTTTCACCATGGATTACTTAAATTGTTTCTAAGGTCATCCATGCACACTAAAGCTCGGCAGCCCTTCCCACCCTGAGTGACCTCTCACCGTTTGGAAACATCTGCACCTTCTAGGATCTCTCACCCACTGACTCCCCTTTCTCCTGGTTTCCGTCTCACTCTACCAGCCACTCCACCTTCTCCTTCACAGGCTGTTCTGGAGGAATCTTGGCATCAGCTAACCAGTTAGACTAGTAACACTATCCCTGGCCAAACTTAGCATCTAACCCAGGATCCAGGGATACGGGGCAGAGAACCTAGTAGTTTTAAGACCTTCTTATGTGTAGAGGTAATAACAAGGTCTATTTCACGAGGTTGTTTTGAAGGTTAAAAGAAATGATGCAAGAAAAATAAATGTACTAGTTTTGCAGCATCTTGTCTCACAGTACTCAATAAATACTACTTATTACTACAAGTCCCAGAACTTACATAATGGCCTCTGCTCACCTGCTTTTCATGCAATCAGAACTTTCACTCTGTTTCGTTTCGTTTCTTTTTTTTACTTTGTATGGTTTTAAAGCCCTGAATAAACCGCATAACTAAGTGCTTTTCCGCAGGCAGCTAAGAGCTTCTGAGATCTTTTCACATTCAGCTCACTTCCTTTCCGAGCACAGCGGCATATGTGGCTGTAAAAGTCCCCTACTATTAGCACTTAACAGCTACATAACAAGGAAACTCCACAGGGAATGGAGACATGTGGTAAACCTAGCAAGTCCTCTCTTGACCAATTTTTGATAATTAGATAAACAATCTTAGGGCAAACAGTTCAACTGGTCCAAAGTGCTGGGGTTACCACTCCTTTTTCTGTCTTCTCTCATTATCTAGTCCATCAGCAAATTCTATCAGCTGGCTGGCCAAACACATCCAGGTTCCCAATCGCTGTTTAGCTCACCCACTGTGTCCATGCTGGCCCAAGCCACCACACACACATAAATAAA